ACACACACACACACACACACACACACACACACACACACACACACACGTTCACCCACACATATACACACACACACACACACACACACATATACAACACACACACACCTGGAAGGCTACAGTGTATCCATGGCTCATGCCCTCAAGCTGAAAAGCCATCACTGAGGAAGTGACATTGACAGAAATCCAGTCTTCAGTTGTTTTGTTTGTGCTACTTTGTTTAGATATACAATAGAAAATTTCAAATTTTGTTAGCACTCCATTTTCATGCTTGGGTTTATTCCACCTAAACTCCATCACAACTTCATTCTTGTTGAAGTATTTTCCTCTTGATAATATAAATATTCTGGGGTTCTCTGGTGCTGATGGAACTGAAAAGTAGAGGTACAGACAGGTCAGGAAATAGTATAAGGCTGACTTTTGCCACTCATGATAAAGGTACAGATATATTAGCAAAAAGAATTTCTCATTTCAGACTGTTGCAGTACGTCGCCTTCATTCTTAAAGCTCTACACGGAACAATAATCTTCAGGAGCCCACCCTGATATTTCAGTACATCTCGATGACTTCCTTCCATTCAGCCCAATGCCCTCTTACTACTGCTTAAGCTCATCTTTCTTATCAGTACTGTAAATGGATCAAAGGTGACTGGTTGTCCTTAAAAATGCTGCATTCACTCTTGTCCTGATACGGTGGTTTAGTGGAAGGTCAAGATGTCAGTTATCAGGATGGACGGCAGTAACTATAACCAGCCTTCAGTTCTGGAGGTGGAATTAAGGATATCAGGGATTCAAACTTCCTCACTCTAAACCCCCAAAGGAGGCAGAAAGTAGTAGATAATATCCCAGGGGTATCGCTTGGGCATTCCCAGATATGCTAGAGCCAAGCCAAGCCATTTAGTCTCAGGTAATTCTACTCTGTATATCCCTCTTCTATCTTGAAACTCTTCTCCAAGGTCTCCACCTTCACCCGTTCCAGTGTCCTTGCTTCTTGTTTTTCCTCATTTACATCATTACTTGACCCAGCCCTTCTTACACTGTGCTGATATAATAGCTCTTCTTGCTCCATCTCTCACAATCCAGCCAAAGTTTCTGAATGTCTGAACATATGAATGTCTTCCATGACCATATTGGTTCATGTGCATCCCCCCTCTCTTAATAACACTCCAGGGATCCTGACATAGGTGATGGTTTCATAGCATTACCTGCTTACTACAAGCCACTACTGTTCAATTTAGTTGTCAAGGCCTCATTTCTCTGATGTTAGCAGTGTAAGTGTTCATCTTCACAGTTTCATAGATTCCATCACAGAAAGCATCTATTCTTATTCCTTATTACATACCCCCAAAATCTAGTATAGGGGCTGCCACATAATAAGTGCCTAATAAAAATTGGCGAGTATGAATAATTGGTTGCTATATTGTAAATATTCTGCAGGTAAGAGGCAAATCTTATTACTCATCCTTGCTGCTGCCAATGCCTGTCAGTTGTTTACCATAGCCCCTAAGGGGATCCCCGGAGGAATATAGTCAAGTCCATTTCCACAATGCCACCAAAGCTGATTTCCCAAAACAATCTTAGAGCATACCTGAATCTAAATGTTAACTGCTTCAGAGCATGCCCATGTTCCACTATTTCGTGAGATCTGTGGATAAGTATTTATTGAGTAAATAATTATAGCAAAATGTGCATTGGCTATGTCCACTATTAGAAGTTTATATCAATTAAATTAATATGAGGCTATCATTTACCAATATTTACAAAAAAATTAAATGAGATTCAATAAAACTATAGTAAAAATTCTAGACTAAATTATTGTCACTTAGTGGCTATTTCACATGAGCAACTACTGGGCTTCCATTTTCACTTTCATACCCAAGACTGTAACATCTGCGCCATGTACCTCAGAGCCATGTGAGGATCAAGCAAAATGGTATTGCTGATGCATAAGTAGGTAATAACTGTCTCATGAAAGTGAGACACCTGTAAATGTGCTTTGTACACCTTAAAATGATATACAAATGTAAGTGTGAGGCTAGTATTCTTTTAGAAATATATTATCAAAAGTTGGGCATAGTAGTGCATGCCTTTCATCCCAGATTGAGGCCAGCCTGCTCTATATAGTGAGGTCCAGGACAACTGGGGCTACAGGGAGACCCTGTCTCCAAATTTTATACATATATATATATATATATATATACAAGAAGCATAGAATTTAGACATGTTATTCATACTCAGAACACTGAGTACTATCTTTGTTAACAACTGCCTTCCAAGAAGTTGTCTCTACTCTTCAGCACCCATTTACCTGATGAAATGATTCACAGACTACCTGAAACATGTGTCCACCTCTTAAATATCACTACAATCAAGCGAAATAGTTCTAAATTAGTCTTTGAAATATTCTTCTTTTAGAATAAATTATGTGTTTATTTTGATGATGCTATTCCAATCTCTAGAAAGCACTGAAAGGTTGTTGAATCTATACACCTGTATAAAACTGAAGGTTATTTTTAAATGTTATTAACGATTCATTCAAGACCTTGTAAAATGAGAGTCTGCCCCTGTTTTTTTAGAGATATTTTTTAAACCCCTGTACCTGATTCAGGTGCATGAAATGATAGGGATGTTTTGTGGCCCTTTCCCCAGTAGGTATAAGGAGTGACAGAAAGATTAAATAAGGCATAGGGCTCCAACCCTTCCACAGTAAATACAGGTAAAGTCTGTTGTTCAATAGCCAGGAACTAAAATATAAGCACAAAATATCATATTTAGAGGAAGAATTATAAACCTTTTTTCCTCTTACTAAAATCTCTACATTTTGGTTCACTTGTAAAAACAAGACTTGAAATTTTGGAAATTCACAATTTCATAATGCATATGCTTTCCTAAATAGACCAATTAAAGTGTATCTAACACAGTAATTAGCACAAAGCAGTCAGAAACTGGCTATTAACGAGGGCTCTTGGGAACAACTTTAATAGGCAAATGCTATGAAAACAACAGAGATGCGTTTGACTGCATGAGCAAAGTATAAATCAGTGTGTACAAGGTTGGTACAGATGCTATAGCAGATTTGGGAAATAATACTTGAACCAAGAGCATACCTTAGAATAAGCACTGAATTCTATACTGTAGAAAACTATACCCCAGTCCACTTCAGGGGGAGCATTCCACAGAATTTGGAAACTTGAAGCATGTCCTTCAATCTTAAATGAAGACTCTTGAACAGAATCTGGGATAACCTTAGGGGCAGAGGAAAAGTTCCCTACGGAATGGAAAAGAGAAAGAAACAGAGAAAGATAAGCACAGTATCATGCTCAGCAGAAACTACTAATAATTAGAACCAAAGCCAGGCATGGTGGTCCATATCTGTAATCCTGGCACTTGGGAGGTAAAATCAGGAGGACCAGGAGTTCAAGGGTAGTTTTAGCTATAAAATAACTTCTAAGCCAGTCTGGGGTACATGAGACCTTGTCTCCAAACAAACTAAACAATAAATAATAATAAATAAATTTCAAATTTTTGTTTTCCCTTTAAGTATCTTTTAAATTGTCTCTTTTAACTTTGAAAACTATAAATTTGGATGAAGATTAAATTTACTGTAAACAAATCAACAAAACTTACTAATACATTCCCTTTTTTCAACATAATTCTTAAGATGTTGATCAAAATAAGTAATAGAAGTGTAGAGGGCAAATAGGTAGGAATAAAATATTATACCTGGTAGAGGCTTGAGGGTTGTCTGAACAATTGTGAACTGATTGAATCTGGCTGGTTCTGAAACAGATACACTAGTTCTCTGACCTATTTCCTGTGCTGTGATAATCTTAAAGCCATTGATCCAGAAAAGTCGACCACTGTAGTACATCAGGGCATTCTGGGAAATCTCAGAAGTGCTCCAGGCTGCAAACTCTGTGATGGTGATATCCCCAACTCTGCTAAAACATAACACCAACTAATGTATGCATCCGAATAGGAGAAGGGCTGGTAGATGCAAGTACTTCTGAAGTTATGTGCTTGCAAATACAAGAAAGAGAGTATGTTTTGCAACAATTGTCAATGTTTTTAAATTTTTTCCTAAATTACCAATCAAAACAAATTTTAATAGCATGATATAGCAATTGAGAGAATGTACACAAATTGCAAGTTTCAATAAATACTTGTGATTTGATATGAGTGCTATGCTATAGTAAAGTCACAATCTGAATTCTCTCTACTTCATTAACAGGGAGTTTGCACCACTGGTTTATTCCATGTATTTCTGTAATGCTTTCAATAGAAGAAAGACCTAATGAAACCAATAAGAATCAGTGTCCAGGGTATATGAGCCTTGCCTCCAAACAAACAAACCAATAAATGGTAAATAATAATAATAATAAATAAATTTTCCTTTCCCTTTAAATATCTTTAAAATAGTCTCTTTTAACTTTGCAAACTGTAAATTTGGGTGAAGGTTAAATTTACTGTAAACAAATCAATCTGTGCAAAAAGCTCAATGACAGCATAAAGATGTGGGGCAGAAGGGCTTTGAGACCAACCAAAGATAATAGGAAACACCAGAAACAGCAACACAGACAACACAGTAACCCACCGCCAGAGACAGCGAGAGCTAAGAGTCAGCAAAATTAGGACTTTCAAAGAACACACTCATTTATTTATTCATTCATTCATTCATTCATTCATGTGTATGAGTGTTATACCTGCATGTATGTAAGTGCTCCTATGTCATGCAGTGCCCTCGGAGGACAGAAGGTGGTGACGGATCGCCTAGAACTGGAGTTATAGTTGTTAGCTGCCATGTGGGTGCTGGGATTCAAACCTGGATCTTCTACAAGAACAGCCAGTGCTCTTAACCACTGAACTATCTCTCTAGCCCTTAATTATAACTTTTTTTAAAAAAAGAAAACCTATTTATATTCAAGAGATTTGAAAAACAAAGACATTCAAACATCCAAAATCCAAAGAACTTGTCAGTATTTATCCAGGATGACCAAGGCTCTACTTTTCCCTCGTGTGGTAGCCATGAAAACTCCAGACCATAGAGAGACAAAAAAGTTATTGACAGGGAATGTCATGAGCTCTGACACTGGCCTGGGTGGGCATCCTTCCAGCTTATCCAATGACTTCACTCAGGCAATCTCACCTAGGATCCAGTTCACATGATACCAACAAGGAGTGCCTACATGTCCACATGATTATGCCCATGCCCCTCTGGGGAATTTATGAATTGGAAGTGTAGGTGATACTTCTGCTGTAGCTAGAACTCCATGTGAAAAATGTAAAATCTCATTTAACCATCTATAAAATGTGGGCATAAGAATACCCAAAATTCTGTGCCTAGCTGAAGCTGATCTTTCACGGATGGATGGATGAAGAAAGCAAATCTACAGTACTACCTCCATCATGAACAAGCAGGCCTAGTAAGGTGAGCAGAAAGAGACACAGAAGACGGTCCCTTTCAGGGAAAGATGTGAAAGATGTGGTCCGTCCCACAGGAGAAACACAGAAGATTGGTCCTTCCATGGTTTCTGCTTGCCAGGGCATGCCTCTGTCCTGCTCTATTAGTCATCTTACTAACCTGCCATGATTATTGCAGTTTGCTTCACCCTTCACTTTACCTTAGTCACACTGCTTGTTGCCTCCACATTATTTATCAACTTTCATAACAGCCAAAATGCTCCTTTTCAAGAGTAAAGAATTCAAGTAAGCTACTTTTAAATTTATTTTAGAGATTTTTTTCTTAATGGAAGGGAGTTTTATTATAAAATTCTTTTTATTTGACTTCTTGTAAAATCTGTTTGGAAGATGGTAGAGTACACCTTTAGTCCCAGCACTCAAGAGGCAGTGGCAGGTGGATTTCTACAAGTTTTAGGCCAGCCTGGTCAACATAGTGAGGGTCAGGCCAGCCAGGGCTACATAGTAAGAACCTGTCTCAAAAAAAAAAAATCTATTTGATTCTTTCTAAAATTCTTCCAGTTGCCTACCACTCAGTAAAAACTGTCTCAGTGATACACAGTATTTTGGAGTGGTGGTTTAATTTTTTAAATTATTTTTACTATACTTATTTATTTTGTATGTGTAAGTACGTGGGCACACAAATGCCACGGTGCCCCTATGGAAGTCAGAGGACGATTTACATGAGTCAGTTCTCTCCTTCCACCAGTGGGTTCCAAGGATCAAATTAAAGTTGTCAAGCTTGGCAGCAAGTACCTTTGCCGGCTGAGCCACCTCATCAAGCCGTTACACTGGCCCCTTTAAAATTATTTTTGTAAGTCATTTTAAAGTGTTAACAATTTCTTCTTCAAAAAAGCATGAATTAGCCAGGCGTGGTGGCACACACCTTTAATCCCAGCACTTGGGAGGCAGAGGCAGGCAGATCTCTGTGAGTTCAAGGCCAGCCTGGTCTACATAGTGAGTTCCAGGACAGCTGGGGCTACAGGGAGACCCTGTCTCAAAAAGACCAAAAAAAAAAAAAAAAAAAAAAAAGCATGAATTATGCCATTTAAAATCAAAACAAGTGAGAGTTTTGTTTTGAGAATTCCATCCACAATACTTCCTTAAGAAAATTAAAACTGTCTTAAAATGCACCATAGCTGAAAATGTGAAACTCAAAAATTATAAATTCTCATGTAGGAGTGTATTACCAATATTATCCCTGTAGTTCTTCTTTCAGTAAGATACTATTCACCCATTCCTATCCAGCAATCCCACTTTGCTTGTCTAACTGCACATTTTAATATTTCTACTTCTCAGCAGAAATTTCCAGCAACCCTCTGAAATAAACCAAGCTCCAGATGGAAGGATGCTCACTAAGCAGGTTGCATTAGGACAGAGAAAGCTGACCCCCCTGGATTCCCAGAGAGCTGCTACAGCCTCACATGTGAAGGTGTTTGTCAGCCTTTCTCTCAGAATTGCCTGAGTCAGCATTTCCAAAGTGTTCTTGGGACCAGGAAAGTCCAAATATCCCTTGATATCACTCTGAGATTCTTCTTTGTTGATAGCCGAAGTTTCCCCTGTTGAGGAAAGCCTTTTGTATATCTGGGTTGGCCCCCAAACTGTTATCTCCTGTCTTCTGCACAACTTCAACTTAACTTCTTTATTTTCAGGAGGTCTGGACTCTACACTCTTTACTTCTCAATAAGCAAAGCTAAACTTTAATGTAAATTCAGTCAAAAAATCATAACACACGTAATAATTCATCTGTAAACCTAAAAATGTACAGCCAATTTTGAAAGAGATGTACCCTAGCTCAGAAAAATGTTATTGAATAGGTTAATGCTGTTGTAATGAAATGCTTCTTCTAATTAAAAAAACAATCATAACACAGTGTGGATATTACAGGCTGTTTCCTGAAACATGAGGTGTATGTAGAGATCAGCAGAGGTTAGTTTACTGATGGTTCATTCAAAAGACTTTGAGTGTATAGATCTGTGTTAGCAGGAAGGCAGAATATGGTGGCAAACAGGAAAAATACAATTATTCCCTTCATAAAATATTGCTGGGGAGCATTTCAGGCAGAAAGAACATCAAGGACAGAGGGCCCTCTGAGGCAGTATAATCTGTCCAGGCATAATGAAATACATCTGAATTTTCATGACAGATACAGTGCTGAGAGCCTCCAAGTCCACATGTTGTTAGACGTTTATAGGTTTATTCTATGCTAAATTTAAGGAAATGGTTGTATATTGCAGAAGGGAGAACAACTTGAGGGACCTAAACTACGTTTCTTAGATGCATAATATGATGAATGATAGCAAAAGCTGAAATCATCTGTAATTCCTTCCTGACAGTCCCTCATAGTAATTATGCGACACTAAGTGTTTGAATATCTCTGGCCATCAGTGTCTTTATCTATGATATAAAGTAATCTCCAAAATCTCACACTAACTCTCTACAGGCTGTGTTCCAGGGCTTTCATCTTATATTTTAATTTCAGATTTGTAACTCCTAGAAGTTAACAATTACTAATTGTTTAAACTAAACATAACAAAGAACACAGATTTTGAAGTATAGGTAGAAATAAAACCTATGACAGTAAAAATGAAAGAAGGAAGTAATAATTAGAAATATACAGCCATGGGCTGGAAAGATGGCTCAGCAATTAAGAGTATTGGCTGCACTTGTAGAGGACCCAGGTTAGATTCCCAGCACCCACATGGTGGTTAGAGATCGTCAATAACTCCAGTTCCAGGGGATCCTACAGCCTCTTCTGACCTCCACAGACATTGCAAAACACAAGTGCATATACACACATGCAGGCAATACACTCATACACATAAAATAAAAGTAATGAATAAAATATTTTAATATATAATCATTTATGAAAACTATATATTCTGAATGTTGATTTGATAAGTTAAAGATGTATAATACAAAACTACACACTACTTTCTTTTTTCAGAATACTGAATAACATTCTTTTAATTTTAGAGAAGCAAAGAATATATAACATGCAAAGAAATTATCCTTAGAATTTCTAAACAATTGACCCAGGCTTCTCCAACATTGATGTGGTTGGAAGCTGCTTCTCCTTTGAACTCACTCTTTCCTTTCCCTGTATTTGTCAGTTCTCACTCTTCACATCCCTCCAAGATGATGATGATGATGATGATGATGATGATGATGATGATGATGACAATGACTATGATGATTCAGAAAGGGTCTCACTGTGTAGCTCTGGCTGGCCTGGAACTTGCTATGTAGGCCAGGATGCCCTTGAACACACAGGGATCGACATTCCACTGCTGCCCAAGTTCTGGGATGAGATTTCTTCCATCTCAGTGCCATAGAAATAAAACTGAGGCATAGACATCACAGGCAAAACTTTAATTTGGGGCAGGAAGGACTTTTCATTTCAGATTTAGGGAGCAGCATTGCTGACCACTATCAGGCTGCTCCCCACGAACAGAAGGTACATTTTTATCTGTGGTCTGGA